TGGATTTAGGACATACATTGCCTATTTAGCCTTTTCTTCATGTGTAACAACTCCATGACCCAGCTCTACCCCCTTGCTACTTGATCTTTGTACCTAGGCCAGCACCCAGAACATAGGACCACTCAGCAGACACGTGTTGCCAAGGCGGATGAATCCAGTTAGATAAACACTTGCTGGATCAACCAGCTGAGAGCTGTCCCATGTGCTTAGCTTCCAGCAGAATTTTAGCAACAGAGCCCTCCAACTCCCAAATGCTAAGGCTGGAGAAAAGAGAATTCTACCCGGAAGCTGAGGGACAGGGTCCTATGCTCAAGGTAAGAGGCACAGGGAGAGGGTGACCCGGAGAGACACAGTCTGGCTCTCCGTGGACTCCAGCGTGACTACAGAAAAGTAACCAAACACTTCTGAGCCTGAGTGTTTCTTCTTCTTTTTAAATCTCAAAATAGAGATGAAGATAATATACATGTCTTTATGCTGCTGAGATAAATTTTATATGCATGTGTGTCTATACGTGTAACACACATATACACATACACATAGACTTTGTCATACTTGCTGGCACACAAAATTTGTTCACTGCAGGACAACAAGTTATTACACTCTGAGGAATTCAGCCAAGCCCCTACAAAGGACATTTACTGCAAGGATTAGGGATTTGCCTCCCACAGTGACTAAAAGCCTTGGCACTCCAGGAAATAACTGAACAGCGCTTGAGCAAGAGGGCAGGATGCACATTTAGCGCAGACCGAGGGACAGTCTTCTGATCACTTCTCCTATCAGAATGCAGCGCAGAGGCAACCACTTCTTGAATCCCATCACTAGTATGTGCTCTCAGGATGTCACCTCCCACCTGTGATCAGAGGCAGACATTCTCCTGGTCTCTGTCCATTCTTGTCCTCTAGCCTCCTGCATTCTGGTCTCCATAAAGCAGTGCAATTGCTTTCTTTAAAAAAACAAGTCAGATTCAAAGCAGTATTCCAGCACCTTGCCATCACAGTAAAAGCAACAGGCCACAAACTTTCATGACTCTCAAGTTCCGGAATAGCCAAGAACCTGGCTATCTCTACGACATCATCTCTAGGAACATTCATTTGTGTGCTCTGGCTACACTGGTTGACTCTGCTGGGAGCCACAAACGTGCCTCAACCATAGGGCCTTTGCACAGGGCCTGCTGGCTGCTCAGCCTGAATATTCTCCATGTCACAATTATCTACCTGGGTTATGCTCAGGTCTCTATGCAGACATGAGCCCTTCTACAGTTGCATCGCAATTTATGTTTTATCCCTGCCCCTACATTTCATTTCAGTGGCCATTGTACAGCTTCGTATACAAAGGTATTGTATGTGGACTCATCTACAAGGTTGGAGATTTGTTCTACATAGCAAGGAAGCCCCTTCTTAGGAGGCTTCCGACCTATTTAACATTGTGACCTCAGTGTTCCTCTTCGAACTCAGTAGATATTAATGGACTCAAGTGAGTTTCCAGCCACCTGTCAAAATAAGAACTTTCTTTTTTCTTTTTCTATCTCCAGGCTCTTACAAGACCCACTGTCTCTGACTCCAATCACTATCCTAACCTGGAAATGTTCTAATAAATTACAAAGGCAGGCAGGTCTCTGGCCTAAGAAGAAGGGAAATCTCATTTTCCCCTTTGCCATCTCTTGCACAATCCAACTCATCATAGATTCTTGCCTTACGGAGCAAGAGACTTTTCAAATGTGCAAGATGTGTGTATTGATGGTGTTCTTTACGTTTGTTAAAGGGACAGTTAAAAGGAAGTTTGTTAAAGGGACAGTTTCCAATGACTCCCTTCAAAATCAGGCCAAACAAAATAAAAGCAGAGTACTAACACCATTATTGAAACCACGGTGTAAGAAAATCAATGGCCTTGTCAACATAGTCTCATGGACCACAGATGTTTCTGTGACAAACATTTGCTCTGTGTTGCTAGCAAAAGCAGAATGGATATTTGGTATCTTTTTCAAAACACTGCAGTAAAAATTTGTCCTATTGCCTTAGGGAATTTAAAAATCCTAAAGTGTTGCTGTTCTATCATGTAATAATGTCCAGTTCTTCATCTTTGCCCTAAGCTGCGTACAATGGCACATCTCTTCTGCCATTGGCAGCACTTTCATAAGAGCACATTTTTACAAAAAATTTCAGTTAGAAATCCATAAAGCCCTGCAAACTGAGTTTTAAACATTGTGTTGATTTCCTTTTGTACTTAAAAGCAGAACATTTGTCTCTGGTCAAATTCCAATGTCTAGTAGACACCAACATACAACAGATCTACCCTTTTCTTCTTTTTTAAAAATTTATTTGGTACAGGGTCTCACTATGCAGCTTGGACTTGTAGTGATCCTCCTGTTTCAGCCTCCCCAGCGCTGGGATTACAGGCATGTGCCACCATACCTTGGTCTTGGTGGATGGCTCAGTACATCTGGGGCTGGGCTGCTGGCACAGCATGTGATATCAGATTGAATCCCAGTCCCTACGCTTGCCTATGTAAGCCCTTAGTCTGCTCAACTATCTCACCAGCCCCAGACCTACCATTTGAGGTACTGCTTTGCATAGGAAGGTAAGAGTCCTGACAGTTGCGCTGAGCAGAATGTGGGTCTGCTAGGTTTTGCTAGAATGTAGGAGAGAATGCCCTAGAACAGCAATTCACAACCCTTTGGGAACCAGGGACTGTATCCATGGTAGACAATTTTTCAATGGATGGAGAGAAGGTGGTTTAGGGATGATTCAAAGAAGCATGCAGTCTATACCCCACCATGCACTGTTGACATGAGAGCTCCTTTGATAACTGAAAGTTGCTACTGATCTGACAAGAGATGAAACATAAACAGTAAAAGTAGCAATGGGAAGCAGGTATAAATGCAGATAAAGCAGATAAAGCTTTGTACTGTAGGTGCTAATCTTTTACTCTATAGCTTTGGGCCTAATGGGCTCTGGACCTGTACCAGTCCATGGCCCCAAGAGTGGGGATTCCTGCTCTAGGACATATTGATTTCATCACAGTTCTGATTTCTCACTTTGACTCTTTGAGGAGGGTGGGCTGGCTTCAAGATAGGTAATATGACAATTTGATTGATATGAGTGTCTCATCTTACAAGCTTGATTCAAAATTCAAAGTTCAAATGAAGTCTTATGAAGCTTACAACATATTAATATAGAACTCAAATGAACAGGGGTATCTCTCTTAATTTGAAATTTAATCAACAGCAATTCACTAAGAATTTACTGAACAGCCCTTCTAAATTAGGTAAGGTAGGATGAAATATTTCCCATACTCAAGCAAACTTTCATATCTGTTTTATCTTTCTGGGATATGGTGTGTAGATCACTCATTCACAGGGCAGATTTTGTTAAATCATAGGATGAAATCAATATGCATCTTTCATGTTGTTCCTTTCAATGTTTGATCAATGGTGTCTAGACATAGTCTGAGACATACTGGTGCATGCACATGGTATAACAGGGTGGGGGGAGGATAGAAGACTCTGGAACATGAGTATATCCACAAACGATACCAATTAATTTTGTGAACGAACACTGCTTAGTGTCATCCTCAGTATCTCCTTTTAAGTTGTATGTTCCATTCTCTTCAGACTCTGAAGACATTACACTATTCTTGTGTCCCAGAGATATTCCCCAGCCATTCCCAGCAAGGCAATTAACAGCTGATTTTCTGCTATTATTTATTAGTGGAGTGTTAAGAATTTTACCTTAGTGGAGGAATATTTAAGGCAGAGGATTATGGAGCAGGCCTAGTAGGGTCATTATTAAAGGGGCTTTATACTAAAGGAATAAGCTTTTAATATCTTAAAAATGCCTTTAAAAATAAACATGCATACCTCTTGAGCTCAAGTGTCAAGACTTTAAACTATTAAAACTAATGGGACTGACTAAATAACACAGATGCAAAGTCTTAGTGTGTCTGCTTTAAAGGATGGAGAGGTCCAGGAATAGGTCCCTAACTTGGTCCCTTCTTTCATTCATTCTCACCAAAGACTCTAACAGGGAATGAAGCATTAGAAAGCAGGTCCAGATGAGTGTCTGTTTGTAAGGTTGGGTTTAAGGTATGCTTCTGATGGTCATGGAACACTCAGCTATGCATGGATAAGCTGTTTCATTGGCCAAAAGCAACACACTGGTAAGATTTCCTAATAAATAGTTTGGTTATAATTTTGCCCTTAAAACAAAGTAAAGAAAAAGAAAATTAAAACAAAAAAAGAATCTGTTATTTGCTTAGGCACTCACCTAACTTGGCACTTAATCAAATCATTCCATGCTAATGAAGGCCTAAATTTAATTATTCTGAACCACACTGAAGTAAAAAGACATTATTTTAATGGACATATCATGCAACTATGCAGCTTCTATTTGCTAATGTTGTCCTGGTTTCAAAACAGATAAAAAAACATTTTAAAAATCAATGAAACTTCATCTCTTTAAGTCCTGCTGCTTGAGATTTATTTTAAAGGAAAGGAAATCAAGGATCTTCAACTGATAGACTGAAGATCCTCTTTTTATAAGACAGAGATAGTTATCCCCTGGCTTTATAAATGCAGTCTTTTGGGGCCTATAATGTTCTATAAAGATCCCAAATAATTCAAATTTCAATCTGTGTGAATCCAGATAAAATATATCAGAAACATGGAAGTCACACATCTGTGCTTCTGATTTGCCCTGATTCGAAATTTTAACATAAGAATACTGAAGCATGTGAGAAGGATTTGTTGTGGATTCATTCAAGACAGTCTTATTTTTATGGACCATGAGTTATTACAATCAGGAACAAAAACATCAAAGTTAGCAAAATGCTCCCTTATATACATCAGCACCTAAAAGATCCAGCGATACTCCAAGGGCACAGGGTCCCTCTCTTGCTCTTTCTAAACAAAACCTTCTAGAGTGACCAACTGCCGTATGTGAGGAGGGGGAAAAAAGGATATTGAGACTTGGTTGGATGCATCAAGAAGTAGCAATGTTTGTTACCTGCAGAGGTGTTACAAGAAATTTCATCTGCTGCAACGAAGACGAACTGATTTCTGGAAGAGAAGATAAAATTCACAATACTGCTTGCTCAGGGGGAAATGTGCTCTCTGCCAACTGGTTGGATGTGTACAGATGAGGGGAGGGAAGGGTGCTGTGTTTGAATGGCGGTTGCAAGGAAATGTGCTGATGTACCTCGGGCTTGGAAGGTTTAGAAAGATCACGAAATAGGCATGCAGGGCCTCTCACGGGGAACCACAGGCATGTCAGAATATGGACCATGTGCAAGCTGGAGCATCAGGATATTAATACTATGTGCTACCAAAATCTCATGCCAGGGTATGGCGCTAATGCCAGAACATTTCAAACTTGCCTAAATGGATATTTTTGTGCTAAAAGATTACACTAAAAATATAGACTATCTATTAAGAAAATGTATGCTAGAGCTAAGTAAGATTACCATCAAATTCCAGACCTTATTGTTATAGTATACTATACAAATTTTTTTAAGAAAAGGAAAGAAAAAAAAAAAACTGCTGTCATTCCAGAAAAAAACTCTATGTGGTATGAGGTTATGGATAATAATTTCCTGCTCCTCAAACTAGGCTTGCTGTGAATAAGGTGAGAGAATTAATTAGTTGAAATAAATCCTGTGTTGCTAAATGATCTTTACTAGTGCAATACTGAAAATAAAATATAAATTGAAAAACACTGTTTCTTTTTTACTTAGTAAATCCAGAAAGATGATAAAACTCTCTTAAGATGTTTCCAACTGTGAAATCTCCAAAATGTACAGTGCGGTAATTCAGAAGTACTGATTATTTTCATAGGAATAAGAATATTCATCTTAGAAAGATGATAATGGTCCATGAGATTGACTGGGGTCTTAAATGCTTCAAAATCATCAGCAGAGAGGCCTTGGGTTCTCACATGTTACATTTTACTATGCATATTGCTCCAGAACCAAAATAAATATTTAATTTTCATTTGTTTTACCAAAGTTGGTTTGGTTCAAATGTTCCAAAAAGTCTAATAACAGCACATTTATTAAACATCTTAAGAAAGTTTTACTGTTGCAAGAGATACACCCTGAGATATGAACAGAGCTATTAAAAATTTCCTAGAACTTAACATTCAATTGAAAATTCTACTCATTTCTACATCTATAATATTTAAAATAAATGCATACATGTTCTGAGAATAGCATTTCTTCTACATAACAAAAGTGAAAACTAGGTTCGTCTTTATCACCTCTCTTAAAACAAAGTTAATCACTGTGGATTTTTGCTTTTTGTGCTGGCATAGACTTTTTCAAAACTGATTTTAGACTCCCTAGGCTTGAGAAGCAATAAAATTACTAGCCTTGAAAATGAAAGAAATACTTTGAATATTTATTTTGACTTACCCAGCTTTGATTTACTTGAGGGAGAGTAAGACACAGGTCTCCCTAACTCTACAGGCACGGTATTCTCCCAGCATACCCAGCAAGCACTCAGTGGGAATTCTGCTTAAAGAACACTAACTGGTGTAACCAAACCAGGCCAGCTAATGTGGTTTGCACAAAGGAGCAGACTCTTTCGGGCAAGCATTCAGGGCAAGCATTCACATGTTGGGGGAGGCGGGGCCACTTAAGCAGCTCTATCCAAATTCCTTCCCCTTATTCTAGAAGAGACTGCTGGCTAGGGTTTTGTCTGAAGAACTGACCAGGGTGTGAGGTAGAACAAAGCCTTTTCTAGGTAATTGAGAGTGATGTAAAATAGTATTTGAGTGAAACCTCAGTACCTCAACCTAAATAGTTATTGAGTGAAAACCTCAACCTTAAAAACCCTGCAAGAATTGTTATAAGGAATCAGCACGTTTTCTTCTTCCAGATTCTAAAATTATGATAGTATCCTTCATAATAGCTTTTTTGATACCAGGTGCTTGATCAAAAAAAGTGCTACATCGCCACCTCCATCTTTCCTTCTTCCCATTTCTTTCCTTCTGCCTTCCTTCCTACTTCCCTCCATCCCTCCCTCTTCTTCACTTTGCCTTTTGTAATCTATGTGTTGCAATTTTTTTTTCTTCATGTTGTCTTTATTTTACTTTATTGAGACAGGGTCTCACTATGTTACACAGGCAGTCAGGACTAGAATGCATAAGCTCAAGCAATCTTCCAGTCTCAACAAGTAATTAGGACTATCACAATGTGTTTTTATGATTCCTGAAGAAGTTTTCAAACAAAATGGATTATTTCCTTTTTCATAATTCACTCTCTTCAAACAAGCTGGCTTACATGATTCCTGACGACAAAGTCAAATCTATCTCAAAACTTTAGGACTGAGAGTAATACTTAAAATTTCATGCTATGGTCTCTGCAACAATACTAGAAAAGAGTTCCAATTTTATTTTGTTTTTTACAAAATATATCCACACTAATATATCCAAAATAAGACCCACATAAATCTAACGTGTTCCAGGAGGATCATTTTAAAGCATGAGAATTATGCATTCAAATGGAGCTTATTAATGCCGTGAAGTCAGCCTGCGAGACCACCCCATGTTCTAGCCTAGGCTTCATCCACTGGCTATAGTAAGTATGATTAATAGCAAATAACTGTTGAAAAGGAGACCGGAGGGTGGGTGGCCACAAAATGGGCCAGCAGAGCATTGTGAAGCTTGAAGGGATAGAGTTCACTTATGCTGCTATCTACATGTGCATGTGTGTATATATGTAGGCACCCTGTATGTAGTTTATGCAGACCCCAGCTGAAGCCTACCCTATCTGCCATTTTTTCCCTGCTTCTTCCTCACCTAGTCAGCACTGTTGAGAAAAATGATCTATTCACCCTGATCCTAAGAGGCTTGTCTAAGGTCCCCTGCATGAAAATATGTGCTCCGAGTGACCAGAAAGATGTGACTGAAGCCTAAGGATGTAACTGAGAAGTCTGTTATTCTCAGGAAAGTGAAGGAAAAGTTAAATAACCAGGGGGATGCAGAGAATGGGCACTGGATACGGGGCCCCCTTTTAGGAAGCAAAAAGAAGCCTGGCACCAAGATCTACCTCCTTACACTGACTCTAATCTCTCTCCCCTCTCAACACAGACCCAAGGATTTGAACTTCTAAATGGGCCTATTTCCAGCAAATTCGGTGTGGGATGATATGGTCTACCTGAATAGTACCCAAACTCAGTTGGACACGGCCAAAACCCGAAGGACTTCTAAAATTTCTGGTGGCCAGGTGATACTTCATTGAACGAGAATCTCTGAATGATTTCAGGCTTTGGTGATTCCTAAATACTTCAAGATAACTCTCACATGTAGCTGAGTTTGAGAACTGCTTGACTAGTTGAGTGCTAAGCGCTCATCATGAGGTCCCTTCTCCAGGGCCCGCAGTTTGGCTGCTTTGGGGTAAGGTCTCAATGATGAACTAAATAAAACTGGTTGAAGTACGTCCAAACCTGAGAGGCAGTGGTACAAATGCAGAGAAGGAAAGGAGTTGGATCCGTGAATGTCTTGCAAGTTTTGCTTTGTTTTCAATATAGACTGCAGAATGATTCAATCCCAGAAACACAGGTGCTTTCCTCAGGGGAGGATTCTAGACATGTTCCAAGAGCACTGGCTTTAAAATTCACGTGGGGAGGGAAGCTGCTGTGGACTTACTCTAAAGTCATATTCCTCAGCTTTGATTTCTTGCCCTTTTGTCCTATTTTACTGTCTCCTATGGTTTTACTCACACTCATCTTTACTGGGGCTCTTTGCTTTTGAGCCACACAAACTATCTAATTCTTATACCAAGAATTCCTTTCTACTGTTCTTTGTACTCATGAATTTCTCAAACATCCTTGAAGATAAATATTACCTACAATCTTTTAACATATTAACCCCTGAATGTTGGTTCTAACCACCTAAATCTGAATGTCCAGAATGTCAACTTACATATTTAACAAGAGCACAAGCTTTACTACTGACCAGCAAACAGGACATGGTTCTCACTGTGTTCCAGATAGAAGTGTCTATGAAGGGCGAATAACTCAGATTACCTCAGATTACATTGGAGGAGTCTGAGAAACCCTGTTGAAAAATACATAATTTCATTTCCATTTTAATTTCAAAAGGCACCTTTCCCAGGAAGATTATTTGGTATGGGAAGGTTTTATGGAAGATAGGATCATTACTAATTAAAGGATAAATTAGTGAGAACAAAGGGAAATACTATGTCTTGACTCTTGGGAGTAGTGTCTCAAAAGGCTACTTTTTAGCATTCATCAAGTATTGGCCTATGACAAGAAGTTTCTCAGTATCTTACCTGTGTATTAATATGCTTAGTTTTGCTTACAACCCTGCTTCCTTCACTCATCTTGGAAACTGATTTGCCAAGTAAGTAAGACTTTTGGTACCAGAGGTGAAATCTGAACTCCATTGCTTTGGTCTAAGACCTTAGCTCTCAGTCATTCTCTAAGGTTCTGTGCCCCAGCACTCGTACAATGGTATTTAACGACCACTCAAGTGGGTATCTCTCCATGGAGGAGCGCCTCAAGATTCTGAATCTTCAATTAATATAAGACAAAGTAATAGAATATCTAGATTCCTCTCTGAAGATGAAATACTTGAGGCTTGAAAAATTACGGCAAATATATTCTGTGGAACAATGAGTAGAGAAGAAGAAATGGCATGTGGAACAGTCATTCTCTCTTTTGACTCTTGTATAACCAGACTTATACTTATTTTCATGGATCAATCACTAGACTCCAGATCTGACTCAGCTGGTGGCATATTAAAATTAGTCCTGTGGATTGCCATTTACCATCTTTGTTCCTCACTTTTTTCCCTCAGGCTATATTTTATTTGTGTAATATTCTTTCTTCCAGAAGTCATCCAGGACTGAATTCTAAGAGTCAAATTAAAACAAGAGCAGGCCAGCATCAATGGAGGGGACATGAGAATCGGGTAGAAAGCCAAAGATGGAACTTACGGCACTAAGCAGGTGGAAGAACAGACAGTAAATTTTCCCCACCAAAGCCCATGTTTTTAAGTTTTATTGTGCAAAACTTTAGGCTCTTTTAGTGCATTGACA